CCTAAACACAAACCAGGCAGTGCTGTCCTAATAAACATCTTAGTAACTGGGCAGTACTCTTAAATTGTTCCAGGATAATTCGAACTTGCCACAATATATTTTGAAGGTGGAAGAGGATAACTACAGGTATTAAAAATTAATCAGTAAATTTGCAATGTGCTCCAAACAAGCAATTTCTCAGTAATTATTTATGCAAAACAAACACTTCAGACATATAAAGATTTAACTCATTGTTATTTGATGTTGTAACTGGAAGGATAGCATTCATACGGTCAGTATGTTAAGGCCTTGAACTTGCAAATCCTTAATTGTGTGCTTAACTTCTAAGACAAGGGAAAAGTTCCCTTTGATAATTCTTGAGTGCAGTGGGATACTTGCATATTTCAGTTACATATGCACCTAGGTCTTTGCATGACTGCCTTTTTTTTTTTTAACATATCATCAATTACATGCAGCAATTATTCCTAGCAAAATTACTCTTTCTGCCCTAAGCTTACACGAACTATGAGGAACTCTAATGTTCTTTCATGCTTTGTCATTTGCATGTTTTGTTTTAAATATTCCCCTACAGTATTAATTTTTCCCTTAATAATATCAAGCTAGTTCAGATTACAAACAAAAGAGATCAAGTAACCACAAAAGAGAACACATTTTATTTTCCTGTATTTAAAAAACCCCAACTTTCAGGGTCATAGCTTTATGTTGATCGTATTGAATGGGTTGTCTGAAAATACATGCTCCCTGCAGGTAATTATTGATTGCTAATACATTTTCATGTAGATTTTTACTGAGGGGAATTATCTTCAGCATGTGGTGTCATTTCCCTGTAGTGTTATTCTTTTTAAAAAGAGTGGAAGATAATGGGACTAGGTGTGACCTTAAGAGGACATCTAGTCCATCCTTCTGCTGTAAAGCAGGATCAACTGTGCTTAAGTCATTCCCAACAGATGTTTGACTAACACCAGCAGTGTCTTGCCGACAGAGAAGCAAGATCACAAAAAATGAAAAGGAAGATGTAGGATATGTTCCCTATAGCTTTCCTTGTTACCTACATCAGAAGGAGAAACATAAATGGAGATATCCAAACAGGTCAGTCTGGACGTATCTTACTATGACTTGGAACTTAAACCTTTCAATTCTCTGTTATGTCCTGAATAAAACATTGAAGCAAGCTGAAGTAGCACAGATGATGAATGTGTACTACTTCATTCTAAAAGTGATAGTTTAAGTTGCTGTCACAGCATGTGCCAGCACTGTCATTTTAATTCTGTTCAGCATGCATTAATTACAAAGTTGTCCCAATTCCTTCATCTATCCCTGAGTAAAATGAACATGTTTTCAGCATTATCGAACACCAGAAAAATCGTTCTAGTTGATTCGTAATGCTGAATAGCTTAGTTCATAGGATTGTCATCTGCCCTTGAACCTGCTAAGTCACAGGTTTACTACTATGACTCTTTACAAAGTTGCTACCAGCATGGCAGTAGATAGTTCACGGGTTTAGCAATTGTATTCAAGAAAAGTTAACCACTTCAGACATGTTTGGAACTGTTTCATATTTAATAGCTGGAAATAGATGTAATGTAACAAAGAAGCAGTATCTGTAAAGATCTTAGAGAAATTCCAGTCAGCCGAAATCTGTAAAATGCAAATATATAATGATGTATGGTATGTATGATGAACATTACCAATGTTTCAATCCCAGATTTATTACCATGCTTTTCCTAACTCAGTTGACAAATGGGATTAACAACAAGTAAAGAATCAGAGGTTAAAGATGAGTGATAAGGAGAAACTGTAATTGTAGGTGGTGTTTTCTACTTTTACCAAAACTCAGTTTCACAGAGGTTAGAGAGCTTCACACGCCCCAACCGCACCCACGTTTGTTCTTCCCCTGAACACCATACCTCTGACAGGAGCATGCTTCCAGGTTGAAGAACCCTAGGCACACAACTGCTAATGAGCAATTTAATCAGTAAGAAGATAAACCTGCAATGCGAACAAAAAGCTGGAATGACAATTGACTCCCACTTTTCCATCCCCTCCCCAATTCAGTGTTGTGGTTTCTGCCCCTCCTCTTCTAATTAAGAGTCCCTGAGTGCAAAATTAATGTCAAATTATAAAGTCTATTCTTTCCTTAGGGAAAGCCTCCTGGCATCTCCTTGTTGTTTGTTCGTGTCCCATCATGCCCCACGTTGTCAGTGATCCAACAAATACCAGATATTGCATTGCCACCTGTGTGGTTCCCAGTGTCAGTGTTACATGGATAGGTGTTTTCAGTGTGCTAGGAAAAGAAAAACTTTTGAGCAAAAGAATTTATAGAAGTTCAAATAAAATGTATTAGTTAATGTATTAGTAAATGTACAAACTGATACCAAGCATTGCTGAAACTTGGTTAAACTATAAATTAATTGTATGGTATAGATATTTTACCTTAGATTTGAGGCTTACCCTAAATATAGGCAAGTTTCAATAGCTCTTTAAAGACTAGTTCATTTTCCATTGTAATGACTGAAGAAGGTTTTTAGGGTCTAAGACAGGCTCACATTCAGTTTTACATGCAGCCCTCTCATAAAGAAGCTGTTGCATTGGGCAGTCCTCAGTATAAGAAGGGATTTTAACCCCACCTGGAAGTGCATTTTGTGTACTGTAGCACAGCCCAAGAGCATGGGACTTCAATGCTGCTTCGACAGTTACTGAAAGGGCAGTGGTTGCATAAACACAGACCTAAACTGCAGGGACCTGAGAGCTGGTCACTGACTCACTTTTCATTCATTTTGTGCATAAAACTTGGGCAGAGAAGGGGCGAGAGGCTTCTCAGATTTCTGGAGATTACTTAAAATCCAATCTATGCTCGGCCTTACAGAAGGTGTTTTAAGCATTTTTTAACTCCAGTCTGTAGGGCACTTTGAATTTCTGAAATGTAGCCTGTTACTGCTAAGCTGTGGCAAAGCATGGGCTCACCATGCACGAACTCTCGCCGTGCAGCTGTGGAACTAGAGCACACTGCCGTCACACTGACCTCCGAGCATTTGACAACGTGTCATCTGTGTATCTTGCTTTGGATGGGGGGGTGGGAGATTTTTTATTTCATGTTAAAAGTAAATGATGCCCCTTGCTCCTAGGTACAATTCCATGTTCAGTTTTGAATTGATCTTTCACTCCGTGTTCCCTAAGGCAATGAAAATATTCCCAGGCTTCCCAGGGGAGGTGAGGGAGAGAACAAGGTTAACCTATTCCATCACCTACAAAGCTAGGTATGGAAAGTGAAGTCCACACAGTACACATGAAAAATATTAAAAATAACTTCTCCTTCTCTGCAGCTAGGGCACCCACATCATCTCTGCTTCCATTTATTCTATCTTATCTCTAATGGGTGGGGAGAGAGATCATACAAATGGTTATAGCTTGTATGCACTGAAATCAAGCACTGCAATAAAATGACCTCATAGGGCGTGTATCATTGTATGGCAGGGTGAGACCCTTGACCTTTTGGTGAGAATCAACTCTGCTGATTAGTTGGAGACAACATTCAACAGATGGGCCCTTCCTAATCTTCTATTACACAATAAAAGTATAGCCAGATAACAGCAGTTACTGTGGATTGCATGGCCTTTAGCTTTGCACAAAATAGAAGCAGATATGACAAACCTTTCTTTGAGGTACTAGTGGTTTTTCCAGTATTTTTGTCACTTTTTCCCATGTTGCTCCCTTAGTCTGTTAACGGTTGGACTTGATGATCTTAGAGGTCTTTTCCAACCTTAATGATTCTATGATTCTATGTGTGTCCCCTCTCCCCATGCTTAACTAAGACAGATTTTGGAATGCTTAAAATGCATGCCATGCGCATGGTGGCTGTCAGGTAGGACTGGGGACATATTTTCCAGAGTAATGAGCATTTAAATCACTGTAATGTGTGTCTGATGGTTTAGCTTCTGAAAGCAGATTATCAGCTTCTCAGTGCATGTACTGCATGGCTTTGAAACGTCAATAGCACGAATTGTTTTTATTCTTTGCTTCATTTTCTTTATTGACATGAAACAAATAAACATTTCCATTGTTGGCAGCATCAGTAATGAAGGCATCAGTAGCTACAGTGCTGAAGATTTATCCAACACAATTTCAAGCATGGTGTCTTCAGAGGTGACAGGACAGAAGAGTATCTTGCAAGAACACAGAGGACAAACAGCCTCTGATTTCTTAAAGCAGGCTGCAGAAGCAAGAGAGAAAAGTCTGCCTACCTCAATGCCTTTTGCATACTGTGCTAAAGAACATGTCACAGCAGATCTTACAAGCAACAATGACAAGCTACCAACCTCAAATTGCAGTGAAGCAGTACCATCCCCAGGTCCAGTGAATGACAAAGAAGAGGGAATAGCACATGCCATATCTGTGGACAGAGGCCCAAAATGTGACAATATTGCTGCCACTTCTATGAAAAACAGCGAGAATGATCCCAGAAAAGCAAGCCTGGAGCCCAGCCCTCCTGCAGCAATTACAGAAATGCAAGGAGTCACACAAATGAGTTTGAGTGAATTAGGATCACTCTGGCAGAGTGAACAGCTGGGTGGCATGAGGGAACCACATGTCAGCACGCTTCCCCAGGGTAAAGAAGCAGGAGATTATTTTACTGCTCAGAAGGCCAAGCAGGAGCGAGGAGTTTTGGAAGTAGGTCAGCCGCAGACTGTAATGCAGCAAGGTAGACAGAACACAGATGGTGGAGAGGGTCTGCTAATGAAAAAGGAAACCTTAATCCTAAATTATCCAGCAACAGGAGGCTCAGACAGTGAAAAATTTGGAGCAATTGTGAATGCTCAGGGCTTCGCTGAGATCAGTGAAGTCTGTAATCTACAGATGGGAGCTGTAACAACAGCTAAAGGGGATGAGGCAAACCCAGCTCTATCTGGAAGCAAAGGGGAACCGTCAGAAGCCTGTACTTTAATGTCAGAGTTGCCTTCTAACCCTCCAAATCTCTTCCTGGTACCAAAGCCTGAAGAGCCTTCAAGGGAATATGTGCCTGGAAATGACTCTGAAGATCCAACGAGGAGTGAAGCAATGAAAACAGCCTCTGAAAAAAATGAACCCATTTTTCAAAGAGACCTTCAAAAGGAGGATGAGCTTGTTAGTGCTGAGCATTTCGGTGTGCCTTTATCATTTAAGCGAGAGGAAGAAGAAAAATCAGCTGTCACAACTGAAAGCCCAAAAGATGAAGCCAAAAGCAATGAAATTATAAAAGCTGATGATGTGTCTAGAGAAAGCACTACACTTTCTGAAACAGAAAGCATTATCAATCCCACCAAGGAAAACTCCCTGGTAGATAAAAGATTATTACTGGAAGAATATGCATTAAGTACTTCTCTGAGCAGATCCACAGAGCTGAATCAAAAAGCAACCGAGGCGAATGTAACAGGAGAAAAAACCAAGATCAGAACAGAGGAGGCACGAGTGACAGAAACCAGTGAATTACCTGAGGGGTCAAGTGGGGCAGAAAGACAACTATTGAACTCTGTTAGTAGCTACCACCAGGACGCGGAAAATATCCATTTGGGACACAATCCTGAAGAAGTCAGTCTTTGTGAAAAGACTTCAACAGGTGACCTAAGGGAAGAAGCTGGGGAAAAGCCTCTGAATTTAGACAGTAACTTTAAATCGCCTAAAGACAATTCACACTCTCTTGGTTGTAAACCTGAACAACAAATGAGTAAAGAGAAAACAGCTGCTACAGCTGACCTGGAGAATAAGCTCGTGGCTTCCCCACAGTTTCCAAGGGAAGAATGCCCACTGGGTTTTGATTGCTTTAACACTGAAACAGAAGACAAGACTTTGAGCCAGTCAGGTTGTAACAGGACTGAAAAGGTTTGTTTAGCCGGTGCACACAGTTCACCGCTTCTCCATTCTGAGAACAATAATATTAGGCAGAGTAAGCAGGATGAAAGGGAAAAGGCTTTTGCTAGAGAAACTGTGTTAGAATCTGAATGCAAAATTGAAAGTCGAGAAAAGCCTGAGAGCTATAGCAAGTCAGAAGAAAGTGCAAAAATGTCCAAATCAAAACTCGAGCTCCAGGGCTTAAATGAGTTGGCAGGGAGCATGGATCGCATGGCTGTACAAACTGAGGAGGCCTCACGGGTTTCGGAAGCCAAAGAACAGATCGGTCACATCTCTGAAGTGCCTCACGGCAATCCAGAGCAAGGACCTGCAGCTGCAGCTGCACAAAGCAGTGCCATGGATGGTAAAGAAAATGAGGGTATTCAACAAGAGAAGCACCAAACTGCAATGAAAAGTTTCATGGAGGACAAAGATTTGGCACTGAAAAGTGAATGCAAATCGGATGTGCTGATGCAAGCTCAGCAGGAGCAAGTGGCTGCAGAAAGTCACAGAAATCCGCAGATGGCTTGTTCAGAAACCTCCCAAGCTGTAGTCGGTATTTCAGGGCTCACTCCTCTGCAAGTTCACGTGGAGGAAGGGGGCGACAGCCACGTCAGTGAAAACAGCTATCCCTCCGAGAGTGACACGGGCAGCTCTTCTGAGGCCCTGGAGTGCAGCATCAGAGAATTGCAGAAAAATGCAGATGTTCCAACTGCTCTTCCCCAAGCAGAGCAAATTGAGAAGTCAGTGTCTGTTGCTGGTGACAGTGGCTGGATTTCAGATATAGGGCTCGAACAACAGAAGCAGCAAAACAGTTTGACAACTGTCGCAAGAGCAGACGATCAGGAACACAAAGAAAGGGCTCTAAAACCTGAACAGTCATTGGACCTAAATAATCACAGCAACATAGCAGAAATACCTCTAAGCATTTCAAACCACCTTAACAAAGAATCTTCTGTGCTAGGTCCAGCATCGATCCAATGTGACTCTGACACAGCAAAAGAAAAGGACAAGGACAAAAGCAGTGCTGTGGTGTCAGAGGATATGTGCAGCAGCAAACATGGGCAAAATATTTCTGGTGTGACCATGCTTAATTTGCAAGATTGCAACGAGCAAAACAAAACCGATCTCAAGGCAGGAGAAAACTGCCGCAGTAAGCAAAACTCAAACAAGCCCGAGCAGGATAATAATTCTTTGATCTCAGCTAGTCAGCATGAAGCAGCATGTCATAGCGATACATTTTCTAAAGAATCTGACAAGAATGAACAGCTAGGCAGTGTATGCGGGATAAAGGATAATACTGGTGAAAGCCGTGCTGCTGCTATAAATGCTCTTCCAGGGACACAGAATTCAGCAAGTGCTACTAACATATCAGAGGCTTTGCCAAGTGATACAGAAATAGCACATACTTCTGATAATTCTGAGAAAAATGATCCTCAAATATCTCATCCAGAAACTCAAGGAAAAGTGCCATTAATGGCAAAAAACTCTGAAAAGATTGAAGGTCTGACTGCTGATGGGGAAATCATCCGGAGAGATGGAAACATGGAGATAAGTTGTGAGGACAGTGCTTCTGTCACAGAAACAAACAATATGAAAACTGATAAAACCCCAGGGGCACAAGAATCTCCTTCACCGTTACAGGCACATGGGGAACTAATTCCCACTGATAAGTCATATAAATCCAGCTGCATTCAAAAGACACCAGAGGAGCCTGGTTATTGTCAAGCAAATTTTACAGCTCTCTCTACACGGACCTCTGCACTCAGCCATCCTGGCCAGCAACCTGGAAACAATATAAACAATGGTACTGGAGGGGAATTACTAAATAATGAGCTGGAAGTTGTAGCATGCCAAAATGCCTTAGAAGGTAACTCTAATTTGCAGATTGCTGCAGGTTCTCAGGTGTCTGCGCACTTATGTCCTTCACGCAGGGTAAGCGCAGGTAAAACAGCAAATTCAGAAAACAGCTCTGCAGCGAGTATGTGTGTGAATAAAAAAGATGTTCCAGACCAAAATTCTCAGAGTGATGGAGACAGAAGTTTAGCCCTGCCAGAGACTTTAAATGTGGGGCAGAGTACTGGAAACTTATCGCAGTTCAATTCTGAGAAACTGGAGAAAGAGATATCTGCAATTAAATCCAAAGAAAGAAAAAGTGAGGTAAACTTCAAAGAGCAGCGAAGTGACAGTTCAGCAGAGTCTCTGTTAGCTCTCCCTACTCTAGAAGGGAAGCTGCTGAGCCTTTCATCTGTTGGTAAACAAGAAGGCTGTAATGAGGAAATTGCAACCAATATCTGCATAGATGACAAGTACGGTAAGATCTTAGAGAAACCTGGGAATTCAGAAAAAATGGAAGAGCTTTCAAAAGAGAATAATAACGTAACCAGGGCAGAGATCAGTATTTCCGAGCAGTCTGCAGAGAACTCTGGAAGGGAGCATGAGGCTCTGACCTGCAGCTCTCTGGACATTGGCTCCAGTCTCCCAGACTTTAGGGAGCATCTCAGCCAGATATTTAAAAAAACTGTCCACAGCACTCTGAGCACTGAATTACCCCAACTTTTGTCTGAAAATCATGCAGGCTTCAAGCAGAGTCCAGTGGCCAAGGATACAGCAGAACTGTGTGGTGCTGAGAACTTTTCAGAATCAAACAAGGCGGGCAAAGAAACTCCCGAGAGCACCTCAGAAGCAGAGGGGCAAGAGTTGTCTTTAGCTACGGAGTCTTCCTGCAAAGCTGCCAAGGGCAAATCTCTGCAACCAGAAAACACAGTGGCAGAGCTGCCACCAGCGAGTCTCCAGGACATTGAAAAAAATAGCCTGCCCGGTAGCTGTTTAGAAGTGGTCTCTAGATTGGAGGGCATTACACCGGCGGAACGTGCTCTGGAAAATCTGCAAAAGCCACACAAAACCACTGAGCATCCAGAGGGCAGTGAGATGGAAAGAAAGGAAGGTGTGTGTGCTAGTGGCGTTGATCCTGAATCACTAATAAGCTTAGAGATAAAGAAGCAAGGACCGGCTTCATTTTATGGGGCAGCAGCTGAGAACTTCCCTGCATATGCTGACAGTAAGCAACAACCCACTATAGCTGTTATCTCTACAGGCGATGTACAGAAGAGGGACTTAGAAGATGCTGCTACCGCAGAGGGAAATAACTTAATTACAGAGTGTAATGCAGAACCAGTTTCATCTGAAGAGGATGTAAGTCTTCCTACTGAACAGTGCCAGGATCCTAAGCCAAATGAACTGGAGAAAAGTGAGTACGGTGATCCAGACATTGCCAAGAGCATCTCTGACATGGCAGCTTCCACACTTGTCCCGGGAGGATCTTACAATCATGAAAAATTGCCAGACAATTTTAATGTGTCACCTGGGGAAAATCAGGAGACACACGTTCGCAGCAATTTTTTGCATGACATTAAGTCTCAGAATGACATGCAGATGATACCGGATGATCCAGTAAATAGGAAATGCTTGGAAACATTGGAAAATTCGCAAGATGCACAGCAAGAAAAGAAAGTGGCTGTGCATGGGTTGATAGATTACTTAAAAAATGAAATAAGCCAGGATAATTGCTTGCAAACTGACTCTAAACTAGAATCTATGACTGAGGGAGATGTAAAAGAGAACAGTGACACAGTGTTAAGCACAGCAAAGATAGGTAACGAAAAAACTGGAGACATCCCTGAAACAGGTACTGCAAGGATGTTAGTCACTGGTGAAGGTGACTTAGCTATAAACACGAGCACTGAAGAGCAGGAGACAGACCTGTACAAAAATCACTCTCCAACCATTCCTGTGATGGAGCAGGGTGAGCATTCTGCATGTACAGATCTCACTGTTGCTGAAAATCAGCCAAGCAAGATGAATTCAGAACATGAAAGCTCACTTCAGGATGCCAAAAGAAAGCTATCACCGCTTGCATTAACTGAGCCTAAGAACCTTGACCTCAATGAACTTCAAGACATGGCTGTGGCAGGATTACCTACTGAAAGGTATTTACTTTAAATTACTATGTGAAATGGTTGTCAGGACCGCGGGGCTTGATAGGGATACAATTTTCAAGGCAGATACCCATTGTCTGGGCGGTTTAAGAGGGCATGGCACTTACTCTGTTCTTAAATTTCTATTACATTTCTGTTGCTTCTAAATGTGGACTATGTGGAAGAAATTTGAAATAATTTGTAAGGGCAGAGGGGTCCTAAAAGCTGAGGAGCACAATTCTTGCCTGTTCCATCTACTGGTCCAGATTCCTGCCTTTACCTGTGTGGATTTACTTACGCTTCCCAGTGTTCACATCTCGTAGTCTGAAGTTAGGCAAACAAATAGCACTTCCTAGCCTTAAGTTAGTAGGCTTTTGCCTAAGTTTTGGTGACCCAGTTAAATGAGACCTGCAGCATTCACATGGTGGTTCACAGTATTTAAAAACAAGCCTACAGTATAACCCAATTACTCACACTGTTAGTTGTCTAGGCCTCCCTCTTATCCTCCCATATAATATAATTGTATTGACAGTGCCTTTGATCATTGTGTTATTCAGTGTTTCTAATGACATGGAGTTGTTTCAGATGTGAATTCTTCTTAGCTGGGATTTGTGGAGCCTAAGAGCTGTTGGTTTTATTTTCCAAACCTAGCAGTAACTGCTTTAATAAAGTTAAGACTCTTTTTTGTGAGTTTCTACTTTGCTGTCTGAATTCTCAGTTTGATGTGCAGTTAATTTAAAAGAACTATGATCTTCGAACAGGTGCTTTCCCTTTAACTAATCATGTCACTGTTCCTCTGTAACCTCAGCAACTTTCTTGCATGCTGCCCCTCTCCTTCCCATGCTGGAGGAGGCAGCTATAGCTGTAACTGCTAAGAGACAACAGAAGAGCAGAAAGGTACAGTGAAAAGCTGAACTATTTCAGATAACATCAATGAATGGTCTCATAGATGGAATCTTTCTAAGTACTACCAAAAAATTAGATGATACTAACCGAATAAGGAAGGAAAGCGTTTCAGTGCCACATTCCTTAAAGGTTAAAATGATAAAACCACATTGTAAGTGAAAGTACCTGAAGTGTTTCTGTTGTTGTGAAAATGTGGGGTAGTTCTTCGTGTTGTATGTGAGTCTGGGACCCAGACTGAACATGATCTAATTGTGTGAGCAAAATGTACATTAGAAGAGTATTAGAAGTGTTGAGTCTGAACAGCTATATGACTTTCTCTTTAAGGATCTGTCTATAAAATGACAAGGAAATTAGACCCTGTTATTTCTCTCTAGCTCCTTTCCTTTCTTTTTGTTTCCCTTTATATGATGGGAAGCTTCACAGTGGGTAGCTTTGAAATTACCAAACAAATTGCTGGCATGGCCTGGTTCAGAAGCCTTAAGGGACTATGGGGCAGTACATGCACATATCTACGCATGTGTTTTATATCAGGGCGGGTATTACACTTTAAATAAATACCTGTGGCAAGCAGGGCAGGGTTCTTGAAACAGCTGCTGGCAATTCATGGAGTAGTTGCTTAATACTTGCATATGCTTTAAGAATTCATTATCACCTGTTTTTCCAGCGTGAGGGTTTGTATCAACAGGCAGCTGCTACTTTGGGACTGCAGCTGTAAGTGGTGTCACACACATACCAAGTGTGCATACGCACGCAGGAGATACTGTGTGCAGAGCCGTACGCGATTGCAGTATTGTAGACACAAACACTGGGGACTCTCAGAGGTAGAGAGGAGTCTCTGCTTTTGATCAGGCTTGTTTCTTAGAGGAATACGCATTTATAATATAAAAGAGAAGTAGAAAGCATTAGTTGAGCTGGCTGGTCTGTCTTCAGTGGGTCCAACACGGTTTTCCTCAGAGCTTAAAACTGGTTTTGTATAGTTGAATTTCAAGCTGTATTCCATACCCTGTGTACTCTGGTCACAACACCTGTTGCTGCAGAGTGGTTTCCAGTTGTTTATTGCCCTATAATCCTTACAGAGGATAAACTACTAGAGCCATGCAAAAAAAGGTGCACATTTCTAAGAGCTGAATGTGGGGATTTGGGCCTGATGGAAAGAACTCCAAGGAGAAAGAATCCTCCCCAGCTCTCAAAATAAGTAGTAGTAAGAAGTATATTATATTTAGGAGAAGGAAATGGCATGTTCTGAATTATTTCAGCATTGTTTTCTCCCCCCTTCCACTGCTTCTGTATAGCTCCATCTCTTACAAGATCTCTTATGTTGAAACCCCACTGAATTGTGGGTGAGAGGGCAAAGTTGTGTGGTCTGACTTTTAAATCCTTGTTAGGATTTCTTCCTGCAGAGGAAATAGAGGAATTTCTTTCCTTCATGGCTATGGCACTGGGAGGAGGGTGGTCTTGTGATGAATGGTAGATCCAAGAAGTGTCTGCAGTGACTCCTGCCCCCACCTCCTTTAGGAGTGGGACAGTGGTCAACTAATAAGAAGAGCTTTTGTGTCTGAAGGCAATAGTATAGCACCAGTAACTTCCTTTCAAATCTTCAGTAAAAAGGACAATTATTTTGTGAAAGGAGGTTGTGGCTGAAGCATTAGCCCCACTTTCGTGTGGAAGTGCAGCTGTGCTATTAGCAGAAGTAGGGAAGGGTTGGATTTTGGCAAACCTGTCTGTCAGCACTGAAAAGGAGTAAAAAAATAACCCTTTCTTTGATGGTTTTGACATTTTTATCTCTCTACCAAATCCGTGACTGAAAACCTGTGTTCGTGATGGCCACATCTGGGCATCAAAATGTCATCCTTCCCACTTACTATTGGGCATCCAGCCGCTCCATTTTGCTGTCTGAGTTTCACTTGGAAAGGAAGATCAGAACTTGAGGGTTTTTTTTTTTTCTCCTTTTGCACTGTCTATACCCATACATCTTCATTCTTTTATGAAGGGAGAAAGGAGGTTCATGTATGTACATGAGTATGACAAGGGAGTCCTCATACCTTATGCCACTGAAATGCTCCTGTTTGCATCATGGGCTATGGCAGATGTTGAGTAGAGCACGGAACAAAACCAGAAATGATGGCAAAATTTTAGGGATGTTTAGAGGTGGTGTGGAATTTTTTTATAACTTCCTGTAGTTCAACTGGCTGGTGCATGCAAACTGCCATTGTCTCTTGGAAAAAGTGCCAAGCTTTTTGAAGTGGAGACTGTAAAGTCATTCCCAGATGTGCATCCGTAAGGTACGGAGAACAGATTGTATCATTCGCTGGTTTGTTAGCTTGGCAAAACGCCCAGCTTGTTAACAGGCCTTTGGGTGTTCCAGGGTTGTGGAGATGCTCACAGACTCCACTTGGGGCTGGGTGTGCTAGTGAGGGAGGAGCACAAGGAGCCGTAAGCATGCTGCAAGCAATGACACTCATTTTGCAGTAAGGTAAGGTTCTCCTCTGCACCCCTCAGCAGAACCGGTTTGCTGCGCAGAGCAGCATGGGCTGTGCTCGCTGCAGTGCCGAGCGATACACCCGGTGCCTTCACCTGCTTCGAATGCAGGAGGGCACTGTGCAGGCTTGGCGTTCCCAGAGCTTCTGGTGCTACTGCAAATTGCATTGACTTCTTCTGGAGCTTATGCTGCAGAAGCAATCCTTGTTCCAGCCTGTCTATGCAAATCAATAGACAAGATGCAGTGCTTTCATAGCTGTACTCACGCAGGTGCTCATTCTTTCTCTGCGGTGCCTGAACCTTTCTTGATGGCTGTACCTCGACCTGCTCCTCATTATACGAGCGGCACATAAAGCTAGCTGTAAAGGGCAAGGAGGCTGTGGCACTGCTCTGCTTTGGGGACAAGTGTTTCCTTAGAGTTTTGACACTGCAAGAAACTCCACCGGGAGGGCCCTTTCCCAGCATTAGCACCGTGTTGTAGGCGCTCTCCTATCGCTGCCATTGGTGTTCAGAGAATGGAGAGTTCTGTTGCATTGACTCACATCACTTATAAATCTAAACAATATTCTGATATGGGAAGTTCATTGCAGCAGTTGGCATCAGCAAAGCTACTTGAAAAACATTCTTTACGTCCTATGCATAGGTCAGACAAGATCTCTGAAGCTGGTCCAGACATACTTTTGGATTTGTTTCATGCTTCGTTCTTGCCATCAAAAATTGGCAAGTTCAATAAGTCCGAAAAGAATGTTTGCTCCTTAGTAAATACTGACTTGGTCTTTTTTGCCTGCATAACAAACACAGTATTAAATATTTTAACAGTCTTGCTGGATGAGGTATGGAATGTAGAACTGCTTTTCAGATCAGTCAAGTGGGTTTTGAGCACTAAGGCTTTGTGTCATTAGCATCTGAAAACAAGAGTTTGGAGTTAAAAGGAAACTTTCAAAACAGTGATTATGCAGCTTTCTTTATTTCCCTTTTTTTTTTAACTTCAAAATTAACTGAGGTGTGCAGCATCTCAGGATCACAAAACAAAGGGAAAAATAGCTGAAGGTGATTTACACACAAATTAAATGCACAAACTTAATCAGGCTATTTGTCTGTCCTGCCCTTCTCCCTTTGCATCTGAATTCTTTCTGTTTATTTCCCTTCCATCTTACTGTCATTGTTATCCTCAGTAGGTGCAACTGTTAGTACAGTTGTGCTTTTGGAGATGCAAGCAGCTCAGCCTGCAGTCCTGCACTAAATTAACTGGATGGGGAGTTCTGTGGGAATTTTGTCTGCGTGAAGTTTGCGATAATGAATTTTGGTATTTTTCTATTCATGGAAGAGTAAAATTAAGATAACGTCACTCTTACTCAACGGACATCTCACATTGCTTTCTAAGAAGTGAAAGGGAGTTTTGCCACCTACTCTAATGGATGTCATTGACCGAAATGACCGCTGTTTTAGGTGGCGTCTAAGTCAGTATAAAGTATTTATAAAATGCTGATTTGATTGTATGCCCTGTTGTACTCAAAGCACATACCAATGGAAAACTAGGTATCTGATACCATGCTGGTTATTTTTTTATTTTATTTACGTATGCCTCTGCTACAGAAAAGTATAGAAGTAAATCACCTCTGGTCCTGCCAAATTGCTGGT